CTGTAACGTGACAATGGTCACTCAGAGAGGTCACGATGGGGAGGTTATGGGGTGCTAGGAGAGGTCACGATGGGAAGGTCAGAGGAGGGGGAAGGGGCGCTTAGAGGTTCAACATCACCTTTATTTGGGGTGCGCCTCCAAAACTGGCCTATTGGTCATGAGTACACACCCTCACGAGCCGCCGTGACTCCCCCAACACTCTCCTTACTATGGGATGATCCCCTAAATCCCCTTTATAGATGTTGCTGACATCTGCCCATCAATTTGCAACCGTTTCTCTCTCTCTCTCCCTCTCTCTCTCTCTCTCTCTGTCTCCCTCTCTCTCTCTCTCTTACTATCCAGGAATTCTCACCAGGACAAGAACAAAAATCAACTGTCAACAGACAAACATTTATTACATGAAAACACATACAAAAATATATATAGATAATATTACAGTACAGCGCCATAGGCTGCCACAACTGGTAACGCTCCAACATTATATCCAGACTTCACCAAATAACTGTATTAGGCTGATGCTCAATTTTCGGCCCACAACCTTCTACCTCCTCACTGCTTAAGATTGAATACCTGGCACATAAAAATATCTCCAACAAGAGAAGGAATCAATCTCTCATCTTACACTGCATCTTTCATGCTAATATGCAATCAAGCACTCCATCATACATTATCAAGGTGTCCGTCCGGTTCTCTGTTCTACGTCCTGAGATCCACCACTAAGAACATCTGTCTGGGTCCTCAAAATCCGGTAGGTACTCCTGCAGTCCTTCCAATATCTGCTGCAACTTGAAGTCCCACTCGAATGTCCGTGAAGCTCCTCTAAACGACTTCACAAAAGAAACGTGTTGCTCCTCTACATTTGGATGGAGTTCAGCATATAATCTTTCTCAAACTGAAGTTCCTCCACTAACTTCTCCCACACAAACCTGTAATTCCATTACCAATCCATAATAAAATGTTTTCCTAATAAGATATAAATACATTTATTTACACTTAAATTCCTCCTTCCGATATCCCTTCTGCATACTGGCTCAGCCGAGGTGGGAACTCCCCCATTTTCGGACGAGTCCACACCCAAATTCTCTTCCAGGTCGCCCGGGGCTCTGCCCCTTCAGTTGCTCAATGACCTCAGGCGAGCGTGGATGTGCTGCTCCTGTCTATAGCATGTTCACTCATCTCTAACTCCTTATATTAGCTCACTATCTTAATAAAATCTCTAACCAATATGCATAAACATTTTCTACGATCGCTGAGCACACGATCAAACCTTGGTAAACAATCTATCAACTAATAAACGCTTGCCCTCTGACCCTCCAACATGGCGCCACTCTTGGTCGTCCAACAAAATCCTTTAGGACTGCCTCTCAAAGCTTCTTTCAGTCCGGACTTGAACACACGAAGTCGCCTGGCAGGTTTCACACAGAAAAACCTGCTTACTCTCCTCCACTCGAGGGAATATCTTACATTAGAGTCCACACTGGACACGACCACCCTCTAGGCTTCAGGTCACCTCGAATATCTTCATAGTAACTGGAAATGACGTTCGTCGTGTCCTCGCCAGCTTCCTCACCAGTTGTACACTGTAGCGTTCACACAAACGCTTTACTCATAACCGTATTCTTCTATCTTCCCAGGAGATAGTGACGTACGCCCATTCCTGACGACTGTGGCAACTCAAGTGACGCGTTACGATGTCCGTCTGTGTCACGTCACATCACAAAATGTCGACATCTCATGCCATCTAACTTTTATAAGATGCCCAATCCTCTGCTTGTATTCTTTTAAGTCACTCACACTGACGTTTCCTTAATAAATTTCCTTCCCTTGACATATTAATCTGTGGTTAGGTGTGCAGAATAACTCTCACCAGGTAGACTCGCTTCACCAGGCTACCCGGGGTCATAACACACTATATATGCTAGTGAAAAAATAACATAACAACTGGGAAGAAAGAGGCGTGAACCCTAGCGAGTGTGTTTGAAGTGTAAGAGCAACGCCACACGGGTTAAGCCGTGTCAGTGCACGGGCCCGAGAGCTACAGCCTGCAGCAGCCTTACCAGCAGCTGACTGTAGACGAGATCGTTCCTTAGATTGATCTTCGCCCAAGATCTTAGATTTAACCTAAGATGGTTAAAGCAAATTTCTGAAACTGAGCAGTAGGCTGAACATGGCGAAGCTCAGGAGCTATATACAACGTACTCGAGAAAGCACATCTAGCGGAGCACATCTAGGGTACACACACCCACACGTTGAAATAAATACACGCGCACACAAGCACAAAATAAAAGAACATAAACAAAGGCCGCCACCATACGAGAAAACAAAACCAACAAGCAACATAAAGCAGGCGCGGGGGTGTGGACCCGGGGCAAAGTTATGACTCGGGGAACCACACCAACATTTTCACACACAGTTGGTGACGGACGGTGAACTGTGTGCCAGAATTGGCGGGTGGCGGAGCGCACTGTAAAGTCTGTCTTGTTACTGTGAGTGGTGCTCGGCAGCTGTGACTGTGAGTGGCGCTCGGCAGCTGTGACTGTGAGTGGTGCTCGTCAGCTGTGACTGTGAGTGGTGCTCGCCAGCTGTGACTGTGAGTGGTGCTCGGCAGCTGTGACTGTGAGTGGCGCTCGGCAGCTGTGACTGTGAGTGGTGCTCGGCAGCTGTGACTGTGAGTGGTGCTCGCCAGCTGTGACTGTGAGTGGTGCTCGGCAGCTGTGACTGAGTGGTGCTCGGCAGCTGTAACTGTGAGTGGCGCTCGCCAGCTGTGACTGTGAGTGGTGCTCGGCAGCTGTGACTGTGAGTAGTGCTCGGCAGCTGTGACTGTGAGTGGCGCTCGCCAGCTGTGACTGTGAGTGGTGCTCGGCAGCTGTGACTGTGAGTGGTGCTCGGCAGCTGTGACTGTGAGTGGTGCTCGGCAGCTGTGACTGTGAGTGGCGCTCACTTACTGTGGGTGGAGTAACATGTGAGGGTCTCAGTTCCTCGTTTAGGTTAGGTTCGGGTCAACTTAGTACATCAGTTTAGTGACGATGGGAACGCTTGAGAGGACGGTGTACGTGGTAAGCCTAACCCTACTAGTTTTCCCCTAGAATACGACCCGCTAATAGGTTAACAACTAGGTACCCAATTACTGCAATGCGAACAGGGGCGAACAGTTTAGGATTAGCGCCCAGTCAATGCTCCCTAGCTCGAACACGAACCCCATACCAAATCGCACTCGAAGTGCAACCCGTCCTCGTAACAAAGAGCCAAAAGTGATTCCATGCACCCGCCAAACCCCCTGTTTATGAATGAAAAACGGTTTACACACGACTCACAACTGATGACGTTCGAACACTTCCGGAACAAGTGCTTCACTGACGAATTTTGTTCGAACCACAACGCTGTAAATGCTTCACCCACGTACTACAAATACAAATAATCGCCAACAGAACCTCAACACCTAACCTAACCTACGCCTATATATGCACAATATGCTAATATATTATAATATTAGTTTAATTAATTACAGGAATTACAAAACAGGAATTTTAGAAAATTCCTGTTTTGAATGAACAGCATGTTAAAATTTATGAATGCGTCTGTGGGGTCGACCGCTGGATGGAATGGACTTGAGTCGAGGACGGGTTGTAATACAAATACATATAATCAGTAACAGAACATAAACACCTAACCTAACCAGTATCTAAATATGCACAATATGCTAATATATAATAATATTAATTTATATTTGAGAAAAGTTCTGTTTTTGAATGAAGTGTTAAAATTGATGAATGTGTCATTAGGGTCGACCGCTGGATGGAATGGATTTGGTCTGAGGACGGGTTGAAATACAAATAATCGCCAACAGAGCCTAAACATCTAACCTAACCTAACCAGTGCCTAATTATTTACAATAAAGCAATATAAAATCATATTAATTTATATTTGAGAAAATTCCTGTTTTAAATGAACAGCATATTAAAATTTATGAATGCGTTTTTGGGGTCGACCACTGGATGGAATGGACTTGGTCTGAGGCAGGGTTGGGAAGTGAGGAGCGAGTGTGGTTACCACTACGCCACCAAGGACTGCCATCGTGTACAGACATCCGAACCTCAACCCCGAGCATAATGGTATACTGACCAAAATAATGTAAGAAATTATTAACAGGTTGGCGGGTTAAATAACCCGACAATTGGTGTGAATGGTTCATTATGTGTCATGAGTAGAATTACGTGTTCCAGGTGCGTATTATCTCAACGCGAGGTGGCAATATTTTACACTAATCCACTCATGGCAGTTTGGGTAAAAGTTAGGAAACACTCACTAATATATTCCATTCACATTAAAAATGTTATTTAGTATAAATTACAATTTTACGGAGACATTGGAATACAGAGTGGCGAACTTTTAATAATAATAATAATAATTAGTAATAGTAATGTCTTCTCATAGATACAATAACATAGGATAAGCACTTATGTATTTGTGAAAGTTATGTAAGGAATTTACACCAAGTCTTTCGCACTTTCCTGAGTGCTTTGTCAAGGTCTGAGTGTGTGATTAGAACGAGACTTATATCTCAACGTCTAATCAACGTTAGACGTAGAGATGTAAGTCTCGTCCTAATCACAAAAAAATAATAAAAATCCACACAAGTGTGGATTTTTATTCTAAATAATAATAATAATAATAATAATAATAATAATAATAATAATAATTCATTATGTAGGGGGACAGGTAGCCTATATGTTAGGCTTGTACCAAGATCTTCCCTTCCCCCCCCCCCCAGGGTTGAACCACTGACCCTCCCCAGGATGCACCCCCCCCCCCCAACAAGCTAACTCCTGGCTACCTATTTACTGCTAGGCGAACAGGCCCATTAGGTAACAGGAAACGCGCCCAACCATCTCTGTTCCGCCTGGGATTCGAACCCGGAATTCACGATTGTGAGTCGTGAACGAACCCGACTGTACCAGCGGAAACTGAACTGTTGAACGTGGAAATACTGTTGAGGACAT